ATATATGTATATATGTATATATGTGATTGATAGTTAAAAAAAGTTTTCTAATATAGCTTTTGAGGAGAGATTTTTTTTTTCTGAGCTTTTTAGGAGTATTGTGGGGCTGTGTTTTCAGCTTTGTCAAGGCAATAGAAAAAGCTAAATGCTTTTATCATGTAAGGAATAGCTAAAATACTGAGGAGCCTCCTTGCCTTCAGCAGCTAAGGCTTTAACAAAATCACCAGATCCCATAACACCTGTCGATGTGGCGTATGGGACAGCCACACCACTCCACAACAAAGAGGCACCAAGTGCCAAAGAGCGAGTGTTTGTGGGCACATTTAATCTTCCAGTGCAGACAAACCCTAAGTGTCCTTAGAAACCTGTCTCAGAGTGACAACCAGGAAGAATACCTGTGACCTGGCCTGGCTGGGTTGCAGTCCACCCCTTGCCAGGGAGAGGAGTGGTCAGTTGCATGCTTTGGATAAAGCTCATCAGGAGCTATTGCTAGTTTGGTATTTGACCTACGCTTCACACAGTAACTCATGCTGTTCTCTGTTGAAATAAACAGTACCGAAATCCAAGCAACCCTCTGGCTCATTACGACACCACTGCTGAGGAGATCCTGGAGCAGTGTGAAGGTACTGTCTGCGCTGCTGTCTACATGCTGAGGATGTGTGGAGGGCGATAGCCCTCCCCGGGAGGCTTGTTTTACATTGTTTATTGCTCTAAACGTCTAGAAACAGCCAAAAGGGCCTCTGTAGGTGAAGTCACCCCTGATAATACTGACATGTAGAGTGTAGTGACTTCACATAATCCACCCCAGATCCACCTGAGCCTGCAAGACTTCCCTGCTACAGCCTCCCATTTCAAAAGCCTGAGGGAGGAGACCAGAGGCTTAACAAATCCAGGCCGTACCCAAGGAGGAAGAACCCATTTCTCAGTGACTACATCATCTCTGTGACCTGTCAGCACAAGGTGGATCAAGAGGCCTCCCTGGGGAATATAAGTCCATCAGGGCATGGTAGGCTGCATCTGATCCAGCACACTCATTTGCAAATCAAAATAGACTGAAACTTTACAGACTAATGACATTTGATGTAACAGCTGGGGGCAGATAAAGAACTATCCCAGTTCATGTCTGTGCAGATAAAAGTGAAATTTATTGCCAGTACTGGGAGCACTGCAAAATATAAACAGGACTCAAGGGTTTTAACTGGAGAGCAGTTATTATAACAGTAAAGCAGTCGGGTAGCAACAAGAACAAGAGGGTCCCAGCCTTCTCGCCACTACACTGTTTAGATTTGCTCTTACTGGCTGCCAGCAGTGAATTACAAGTCCCCTTTCCCCAATGCAGTTGAGCATAAGGCTCTGAAGGCTTGACTCTGATTCTGTTCCTACCAGTCTTAAATTGGTACGATTTCACTGATGCCAGTGAGACTACATCTGACCCACACAGGTTCCAGGGCAGAGCTCTGCCACCTCTCCACTGTGGATGCTAGCGTTAGCTGAAAATTTGTGCCTGTTCTGGATATATGCTGCTAATCACATGCGTGCTTTGCTTCAACATGGTGCAGTTTGAAAGGGCTGGAAGTGCTGAGATCCTCCCTCCCCGTTAAGCCAGCAGATGCCAAAGACGTAGAAATCATGGAGATCAGTGGGAGATCTGGAGGTCACCTTCATCCCCCTGCATTGAGGCAGGATCAGCTGTGCTCAGAACCTGCAAGCTCATCAGAGCTTCTCTGCAGGACCATGCTTTGGCAGCTAGCATGACCTCTGCCTATCCTTTCCACACATGAGGGTTCTAGCAGCTGATGGACATGGGCTCTGCATCTGCACAGGGCCCTGAATAAAGGGGAGATCATGCTGGAGGCCGTGTTGAGTCCCTGCAAGCCTCTTTCTTCTCTGACTTGCAGGCAAGGTCCACATGGTGGTGATTGGGTCTGGCACAGGAGGCACTGTCACTGGTGTTGCCAGGAAGCTGAAGGAGAAGTGTCCAGAGTGCAAGGTAAGCTGGGAGGCAGCGCTGCCCATTGGGAACTGCAGCTCTCTTGGGTTTTCCTGCCTGTGACCAAGCCTAAGCCTGTGGCTCACCTAGGCTGGCAGTTGTTGTCTCCACAGTTTGCTTTTTCACTGTGAGCTTGGCTTTTGTTGGAAGCCATTTGGTGTTTTGCTCAGCTTGACCTAGATCCATCCAAGTGCCTTAGAAGTCAAAGGCTACACAGGCCCATTACTAATCCCACCCTGCCCGGTGCCCTGCCCTTTGCAGGACAGAGTCAGATGTCCCCCGCAGAAGAGGCTGGCCCAGCTGACAGCATTACCACTCCAGCTCCTGGTTAACCTGCCTGCTGAAATTTTCTGCTCCAGCAGCTCCGTGGGGAGCACAGACTATGCAGGTGCTTCTCATCTACTGTTACAAAAGCCTCTGTGCTATGCTGTATGGTTGACACCAGTCATAGATGCTCATTCTGCAGAGCCTGTGGTTTGAGGCAGACTGGAGGCTTGATGGTTCCTGCCTCCCTGGTGTAGCCGGTGTGTGAGCGATCCCTGATCCACCAGAGGCAAATGGAGATGGTGCAGACCCAGCCACGGCAGACCCTGGGCATGAGATCACCTTGCTAACTACTTGAAGTTGTGTGTGGAACAGTGTCACTATCCCTTCTTAAAGTGAGTGGTGAGGGAGACAACCTCAGCCCAGATGTTAAGCTATCAGCAGCCAGGGAGGTGCCACTGTCAGCCGGCACAGCCAAATCCAGAACGGATGTCTGTAGCCATGGGTGTCCACAGGTTTGAGCTAGCCGGCTGGCTTTGCACTGGAGCAGATTAAGGAGCACTCGCACTATCCTAAAGGTTGAGCTTTGGAAGTAGCAGGCTCTGTCAAAGAGCTGATGACAACACCTTGAAAGTGATAACATTTTAAGCCACCATTCACTTCTGCAGCAGCTGAACACTATCTAGGACCTATTTTAAAAGCCAGTGGAAAACAATACTCCCTTATCCTGGAAGGTCTCTATGCTGCCAGTGGATAGGAATATTAACTCATATCATGGGAAGGAAAATGTTGCTGATAAGGGCATGGGTAATTTTTCCTAAAAGTTGTGTGTTTGACTATTTCTGAACTGCTTTTGTGGCTTAACAAAACTTTTTTCCCTCAAAGATCGTTGGCGTAGATCCCGATGGCTCCATTGTTGCTCTGCCCAGTGAGATGAACAGGACAAACACCACAACCATCGAGGTGGAGGGCATTGGTCATGACTTTATCCCTACTGTCCTTGACAGATCAGTAAGTGCCCGTGTGATGAGAGGCCTCTGTTTGATCTTTGGCTTTGCATCCAACCTACTCCCAAGTTCAGAGGCAGTCAACTCTGGCACCTGGCTGTGGCCCAGCCCTAAGGCTACTTGTGTACCTTCCCAGTGCAGAACAAACTGTTGTGTGGGGATTTGGACCTGAGCACTAAAGCATCTCTCTGAGTAAATCTGATTATAACTGACCTACAAGGAGGAGCCAAATACAGTGGCAAACAAGGAATATGCCCCAGTAGCAGCCTCCTCAGCTCAGCCTCACCAACGCTCAGAGCCTGCCTCTTGTACTATGGTCACGTAGAAGAGGTCAGTGTTGAGGCTGCTCTTCGTCACACTAGCATTTCCTGAGCCTTCATTATCGTAGGCACTGCACTGCACACATAGAGCAGAAACCCTACACCATTTATGGGCTGCAAGACAAGATCCAAGACATAGAAAACAACAGGTCATGAAGCTCATGCAGCTTCTTGACAAGTTTCTTCTTGGTGTATCAGTTGCCAACAGGCAGAGCTTTAAAGCCCTAACTCAAGCTGCCTGTGCTCCCCTGGCCTCATTCTTAGAAAGGCCCCCCACAGCCCCAGACCCTAGATTCTTTCTGTTTTCAGATGTTATGTTAATGACATCTCTGCTGTCAGCTTTAGAGCTGTGGCCTGTAATAACTCAAAACTCTTTTTGTAGTTGGGTCTGATTTTGCCTAGTAAAATATGGACCATTAGCATAGCTTAGCCCAGGACATCATGAACACCGCTCCCTCTTCAGCATCCTATCTCTGGACCTGTCAGACATCCCTAACTCTCCAAGGAAAGGGTGCTGGCTGGAGAGGCTAGAGTGGGTTCCTGCAAGCAAGGATACACCCTCCAGACCAGGGATGCCCTGAAAAATGTGTTTGCTTTCAACAAGTGTGGAAAACAGCTCAAAGCTGCCAGATGTTGTAGGCATCAGCACCACAGCATGCCTCAGAGGTTCGGGACAGCCTGAAATAATACCACCAAGACTCAACCTTCTTGCTTTCCCTTCAGGTGGTTGATCAGTGGTATAAATGCAACGACAGAGACTCATTCCTCATGTCTCGCAGACTGATCAGAGAGGAGGGATTATTGTGTGGTAAGCACCAAAGACAACAGTTGCTTCTCTTAACAAACTTGCTGAACCTCATCCTTTTGGGACCGAAGAGCTTTGGGATAGGTGCTCCCTGCCTTTTGTGGCTGCCAGGTTAACAGGGCTGAATAGCCAAACCCTGAGCTGGTGTGTAGGTCCCTGTAGACTTCAGAGGTGGAGCAGTGAGTCATAGAATCATAGAATGGTTTGGGTTGGAAGGGACCTTTAAAGGTTGTCTGGTCCAACCTCCCTGCAATAAGCAGGAACATCTTCAAATAGATGAGGTTGCTCAGAGCCCTGTCCAACCTGACCTTGAGTGTTTCCAGGGATGGACATCTACCACCATTGCCTCTGGGCAACCTGTTCCAGTGCTTCAGTACCCTCATAGTAAAACATTTCTTCCTCATATCTAGTCAGAATCTACCCTCTTTTAGTTTAAAACCATTTCCCCTTATCCTATCAATACAAGCCCTGCAAAAAAGTCTGTCCTCATCTTTCTTATAAGCTCCCTTTAAGTATTGAAATGCCACAATAAGGTCTCCCCAGAGCCTTCTCTTCTCCAGACTGAACAACCCTACCTCTCTCAGCCTTTCTTTATAGGAGAGGTGCTCCAGCCCTCTGATCATTTTTGTAGCCCTCCTCTGGACACACTCCAACAGGTCCATGCCAGTGGTCTGAGATCTGACTCATCGGCCACAATAATTATAGAAGAAATAACTCTCCTCTTACTGGAGCAGTTTTGTACATGGAACTGGATCTTCAGGCCTCGCTCTGTGTGGCGTAGTGTTACACGGGCTGAAGGGAGGATTAATGGGACTCTGGGCAGGACAGGTGGGCTAAAACTGTTGCTCTGCTAACAACTCTGCAAGGCCGTACTCTCTATCATTGAACACTTGCCACACTAGAGGTGCCAGGCTTGGACCAGGAAAGTTTGAAAGTAAAGAAAGTGTAAGATGTTCTTACTGAGTATTTCTCCCTGTGCCAACAAGCTGTAAGTGATCCCACCGCCTTTCCAAAATGAACAGGTGCTCTTAGACAAACCCTGCCTGTACCCTAAAAGCCTCTACACAGCATCAGCTTTTTTTTTTAGCCTTCCCTGCCACTAAGCAGATAGCTAGAGGTTTGCATCCAGGACCAGACAATATGTAGGCTTGTAGTTACAGCTGATAAAAGTCCTGAGTGCTCACATCTAGGGGGTTTTGAAAAAGATCAGGCCATTTGTAATAAAATGCCTAAATATTGATTTAACCTAGCAGGCACAGAGTCGCTGTGTTTCAACAGAAACCACTTGCTGAACTCAACTGTAATTTGTGAATAGCTTCATGTTCTGCGAACTGCATTTTTCAGGTCCTTTCCTCATTTGTTTGAAAAATGTGACCCAGTGCTAATTAACCTGCTGTAAAATACGTGCTGCCTTGAATGCAGTGTGTAATTGGCACACAGATAGTGGAATGCGTTTGACTTCCAGTACTCGAACTGCGGGTGGAAGAATTGCCTCTGTAAAGCAGGGACCTGCTTTCCCTACGTGCAGCAAACCACATGCGTGCACACAGACACAGGGAGCATTTAAGTCTTCCCATCACGTTGACCTGGTATTCCAAGCATGAATGTAATGTTTATTATTTTTTCAGTCTTTAAAATGCATTTAAAGTCAATTTTTGATTACTAAATATGTTAGCCAGAAGCTCTAGATTTCATAGAATTATAGAATGGTTTGGGTCAGAAGGGAGCTGTAAAGGTCATCTAGTTGTACCTCCTTTCAGTGAGCAGGGACATCTTCAACTAGATCAGGTTGCTCAGAGCCCCATCAGATTTGACCTTGAAAGTTTCTAGGGATGGGACATCTGCAACCTCTCTGGTTCCAGTGTTTCACCACCCTCACAGTAAAACTTTTCTTCCTTATATCTAGTCTGAATCTCCCTCTTTTAATTTAAAACCATTTCCTCTTGTCCTATCATTTGGCACAGACTTCTTCTCACCCAAAGGAAGAGTGCAGTGTGGGAAGCAGTGGTATGAATGTCCCCATACGGAACGTTTCAGTCCTTGGCCTGCCCGCAGATTCACCATAAGAAGTGGTTCATGAAGTTCATAATGTGACTCTTATGCTGCCTTAAAAGCCTATTGTCAAGAGCCACCATATGGACACATCCCTTTGGTCCCTACCTCTTCCTGACCCTGAAGCCTACAAGGCTGTGAGGTCAATTGTCCTCCCGCTCCCAGCGTCTTCAGCTGCCTTGGCATACGATGTGCCACCTCTGCTACTGCTTTGTCTGGTTGCCTCTGCACCATTAGCTAGGACAGTGCTGTGCCCCACTCAGCAGGACAGTGGCCCTACACCCTGAGCAGTCCCAACACTTATCTCTCTTCTTGGTACCTGTCCAGGAGGCAGCTCAGGCAGTGCCATGTCCGTCGCCGTGCGGGCTGCCAAGGACCTGAAGGAAGGTCAGCGCTGCGTCGTCATCCTGCCTGACTCCGTCAGGAACTACATGTGAGTTTCTTGGTTCCTCACCTGCTTTCCAGCTCCCACAGCCTTCTCCCCCACTCTCTGCATATGGCCTGGGCTGGGGCCATGGGGCCCTTCAGTGACATGAGCTTAGCACTGCTGAGCCTGAGTGGTGTGGGTGGCTGGAGAACCACCCCAGTAACTCTGATAGCATGGCACCCAGAGTGAGCCCAGAGCTGGGAGTCTCCCTCGAGCAGCTCACAGGAAAAAAAAATAAATACACAACAGGGAGAAACAGCATACTTACTGTGGCCAGCACCAGGGGTGGGTGCTGGGACACTTGGGTTTTGTTTCCTCTTGTCACTGACTTACTGCACGGAGCAGGAATCAGTCAAGCTACAGGTTTTGAACTTGCATGCCTAAAGTTAGGGAGGCAAATAGCTGACGTGCTTCTAAGACTTACTGAGCACCCGCAGCTCTCATTGACCTTAAAAGGGGCTAAGAGCAGCCAGCTGCAAAAATCATGGGAGCCCTGGGGCAGTGCTGCGGTCTAGTGCACGGAACAAAGCACGACTTCTTCTGGAAGGCTCACAGACTCACTCTTTGTTCGTGACTTCTAGGTCCAAATTTTTGAATGATAAGTGGATGATAAAAAATGGTTTCCTAAATGACGTCCAGGAGCACAAGCCTTGGTAAGACAACTTCCACTGATATAAACTCTGCTAAGGAAATCAGCTTTTTGAGTCTGGAAATTAGTATCTTCAAAGGAAAGTATTATCTTTTAGTATTTAGGAAAAAATGCAGTTAAGTCCATATCCCTCTGGGGAGGCCATAATGTCAGCTCCTGTCTTTTGAGTGGTTTGATGTCTCAGCTTTCCAATCAAAGTCTACAAAGGAGCCATTTCTGTCCCAGGGTTGCCAATCCGCTCCCTCATTGTCCGGGCTACCTAAACCCTGCAAAGCAGAATGGCTGAGGTGGACATCTAGCTCCACTCAAAATCTTCTCTCTCATCCTCACAGTTGATGTTCACAGGAACATCAGGCCGGTGGGGAGATGGGTCCCTCCTGTAGCAAGCACCTTTTCAAACAGCTCTGGAGGGTTTTTTTCAGGCAGGGAACAGTAAATTTTCACTTTCCAGAGCCATGGGCCAGAAAACACGACCAACTCAGCTGCCTCTTGCACACCATGGAGAAAGAGTTCTCTCAAGGCAGGGAATCACAGACAAACTGCTGATGCCGGTTGGCTGGGCAAATGCTGGTTGGCATAGTCTCACTTTAAAGACAGTAGGTATTATTGATGTCATCTGTTCCTTTGGGTTAGTATAACCAAAGATAACCCAAAATATTGCCTAAAAACTTGATACATTCCCAAGGCCCCTTGTACCTGGTTAGAATTGCTCTTGGCCCTTCCAATCTTCAGCATTGCCCTGCTTTTTCTACAAGGATGAAGGGCTAAGATGAGTTGGGTCCTGTGGTCCTCAGCAAACAAGTGTAGCTTGTCCCTCATAAGTCATACAAGCATGTCTGCCTCTCTCCTGGAGGAGCTGCAAATGCTGCATTTTGAGGACCAAGGATACCAACCAAAGAAGTAAAACTGGTAGGCCTTCCCACTCATGAGCTTGAAGTGAAGCCCTCAGTAGCTTCCTCGGATTCAGAACAGCTCAGCACCTTGCCAACTCTTGGCCTCAGACCTGCCTCTGGAGTTGTATGAACACCAGAAAAAAAAAAAGCTTGGCTTCAACAAAACCTGGCCATGGTGGGCTTGTGGCATTACAGCTTTGGGGATAGGAGTGGGGCGAGGTTTGCAGGCAGGCAGAATATCTCTGCGTGGCTGGTGTCATCTCTACTGGCCTCGCCTCCCTGAGCAAGGCCCACAGCCACACAGCAGAGAGAAACAGCTTGGTGCTGCCATTTGTCTTTCAACAGGTGGTGGAACATCAAGGTACAGAAACTGAATCTCTCAGCCCCTCTCATTCTCCTCCCAGAAGTCAGCTGTCAAAAGGCAATTGAGATCCTCCAGGAGAAGGGATACGACCAAGCTCCTGTTGTTGCTGAATCAGGGTAACTAATTTTACTCATTACAGAGACGGTAATTCACACAGGAAAAGCAGCCATGATGAAGCTAAAGTCCCATTTACTGATGCAGCAATGGGGCTCTTGTGTTGGATTCTGTGATGCATGTTTTTAAACTATCATCAAGAAAACTCCCTGTAAATGAACTAGTTAGAGTCAAAGCCAAATCCAGTACTCACCAGACTCAGCAGAGGTTGGATTGGTGCACAGGCAAGAGGAGGCCAGAGGCAAGGTGAGGGCTGGGTGGGAAACCCACACAAATAAGCAGGTGGAGAGCCCACATGTTTTCCTTCTCCCAGCTGCTAAGTCCTGGACTGCAACAGCAAACTTTACTACTGTTGAACCAACAGCTTGTTGAGGACAAGGATCTTCTTGTCCTGCTCTTAGGAGGAGAAAGCTGGTGCATCCTGCTGACAGCAGCAGCAATTTAGTCACTGACTTCATGGGGAGCAGTTCAGCCCCTACATAAAATGTGTGCCCTACCTCAGGTCTGACCTTTTGGAAAAATCCCTGTTCCTTTACAGACTTATTTTGGGAATGGTGACCCTCAGCAACACTCTCACCTCAGTGCTGGCTGGAAACGCCGAGTTCTCAGACCCTGTTACGAAGGTCGTCTACGACCAGTTCTCAAAGGTACTGCTAAGGCTACCAATGGTGTCAACCACTGTCCAGGGATGGGGAGAGGGGGAAAGGTTGCACCACCATCCTGAGGTGTGAGAGGAGCTGGAGAAGAGGTCAATAAAAAGACAGAGTTGAAGGTAGAGAGAGGTGGGGATGGCAGTGGTAACACCATGGAGATGAGAGTAAGGACAGGCACCTGCAAAAATGCTGCTGAGCCTCAGACACAGGAGTTTTCACACCAGGAGAAAAGCGTGTGAACATCCACCCTGAATCTTACATCGTCAGATGATTTTGTCCAGCTGGGGAATCGGCACCCTCTGAAATCAGAGCCCAGCCATTGCCAGGGCTCAGCAGTGCTGGGGCAAGAGGCACAGGTTCTGATGGGACACAGGGCAGGTCCTGTGGGTGTGCAGGGGAGGGTTGCCTGGGTTGGATTGCCATCAGTGGTCCAGAGATGGAGCGTGGTAAACAGATGGTGTTTTAGGGAAGCTGGAGCCATCACCTCATGCTGGCCCATGGAGGCCCTTTGGGCAGAGGGGAGACAGCGCTGTATTTCATCTACAGCAAAGCCAGGTTTGCAGGTTGTCTACAACCTCTCCCACCTCCGCAAAACAGTGCGGGTGGATGAGGCACACCTGGTTCTGATCCAGCTGGCTGCCACCCTACTCAATCATGGCTACAGTCAGAGGTAAGAGTCAGGCTCAGCACCACTGTCCTTTAAATGTGAAGTGAAACATAAAATGTCTCTTTTTGTCCTGTTTAGATTGGCCTGGAGGACAGCCTGGGAAAGCTTTCCTGCATCCTGGAGAACGACCACTTTGCTATCGTTGTACATGAGCAAATGCAGTGTAAGTATCTGCAGAAGCACTGTATGGGCTTTGCACAATGTCTGAGAGGGGAAAGGGAAATTCTCAAACTGAGCTTGGGAGATACCAGCACAGCTGCTCCACACAAGGCTCCTTCCTAAACCTTTGCAGGAAGGATTTCTGCCCCATGGCTCTGCAAAGCCCTAGAAGTGCCAATTATTCACCCATTTCCTTTCCTGACACCTTAGGGATGAGGAGAGAAGGGAAAACCCTTAACCTCAGGAGCCTGGGGCCAGCACAATACTGGATGTGTGTCCTGTAGAAGTGTTTCCCAGATCCTGGCCTCAGGAGCTGTGGGGTGATGCTGAAGCACCCGTCATCTCCATCCCCTCCCCTTATCTCATGGTTTCCCATGGAAACCCTTTTTTGGGGATGGGAAGGGATTCTTTATGGGATCTAATTTGGTCCCTCTGACAGTCAAGGTGGACTGTAGGTGGCAGCTTGGGTGCAGTGCCTTTGCTGCAAATCTGTAGACTCAGGCCCCTAGTACTCATCTGGTCTCTTGACCTTGAATTCAAATCACTGCCTTGCTGGTTGTGGGCAACAGAAGGAACAAGGGAGAAGCTAAGGATCTGTGTAGACTTGGTATTCCAAGGGCAAGGCTGAAAGGAGCATTTGGGCACATTAGATAAAACTTAAGTGGAAGTCAGGTATGTAAGTGCAAGGGAACAAACTACACAGTCTGCATCCCAATGCTTAAAGACCTTCTGCTGTGCATGCCCAGAGGCTGTGCCATCTTCTCTGAACACCCCTGTTCCCACTTGCCACCCCTGGAGAGGCTGCCAAGAGATGTCCTTATGACTGTGTGCCCCAAGGGGTCTGGGTAAATTGATATGCTAAGGGGCCTTGTGTGCTGTCTGCTATCAGACACCTACCCTGGAGGGCCAGGGTAAGTCGAGAAAGCTGAAAACAAATGTGTCAGAGCCATGAGCAAGCCCTGTGGCAGGGACACACGAGTTGGGAGTCAGGAGACACACTGATGCGTGCAGCCTGGGGCATCTGTGTATGAGCCTTACCTGGACCACAGCTGGGTATAGGGATGCTCTGCTAATTCAGGAGCACCACTAGACTCATCCAATAAAGCAGCCATACCTTCAGCTTTGGTTTATTCTCAAACCACTGTACAGCCACCACCACCTTGGTGAAGGCAAATGACTCAGTAGAGTCACGTGCAGTAGGACCACATTAGCTTGAAGGTTGCTGACACATTGATGGCAGCAGGGATCACACCTTGTTGCTTCTCTGACCAAAATAGGTATGGTGGCAGGTGCTGCCCTGCAAATCTGACCTAACACACCTTTCCAGTACAATTATACCTTAAAACTTCTAGAAGTATAAATTTGGCCTTATCTTAAGGGAGTTGCCTTGCTTAAAATGTTAGCAACACGAAAAGCAGTCAGAAGACCCATGTTTAGGTCTTCTACATCAGAGCAGAAGGGTGTAATTATACTGATTTTATGGGATTACACACTGAACATGCAAAGCATTCCTACGGTGAGCAGCACGCAACATTGCGCTACTGTACCGACTGACAGCAAAGGGCCTCCACCACCTGGGGCCTCCACAGCCCACCATGCACAAACATCCCAACCCCTCTGCTTGTATCTGCCACCCCGAAGCCCCATCAGCTCTAAAGCTGGCTTGCAAGTCCAGCCATCCATGTTCCCACAAAACATCACAAACAAAGGTCTGTCATTCAAAACTGCCTTTGATGTACATTTCTAATTCTCTCACCAAAAACAATGCCAGGCAGAATTTCCTTTCTCATTTATGTTGGCATGAAATAACGAAAATCCATTTTGTATCATGTTTCAATATAAATTAAACGGTATCTGCAAATTAAATGGCACCCACCAAAAATATCAGCCAGCTGTATGCTGTGCTTCTTGCTCTGGTTTTCAAACAACACCCGTTTTCTTTTCCAGAGCTGCTGTTTTAATGCCATCACAGTAACCCCTTTATTTATTACTTTCTTCCCACACTTTTGGAGCTTGCATTTTATCTCGTGTTTGGACTCTGGTGGCTAGTTTTATTTTTATTTAAGAAAACATTTATCAGATAGTTAAAGCAATTGTTGCTATGCTGTTTTATTAACGGTGGTGTAGGCTGTTATGAGAACAGAGCAAAAAGTGTCTCACTGCTGCTTTTAAAAAGTCTCATTAGTTTGGCCTGAAAAGTTTTGTGGTGTTAGAAGCAGGACTGGGACAGAGGTTGGGTAAAAACAACTGGGAAATTAAGTTTCCTGCTCTGGTAAGAAGGGCATTATTCACCTCCCTGACATGATCCCAGTAACCCGACCAAGGCTGCATCAGTCACTTCTGTCCAGGCAGAGCAGGCACAGCTGCTGTCGCCGTTAAGGTTTTCCTTTAACAAACAAATGGCAGCCTCTGCACAGCTGTTAGACTTGGGGGTTCTTCTTCCTTGTTTTTCCACTAAACTGGTATTTTCTGTGCTTACAGTCAATGGAAATGGCAGTTCCTTCATGAAGCAGATGGTGTTTGGTGTGGTCACAGCGACGGACCTCCTCACCTTTGTCAGCAGAAATGACAAGAAGTAGCACAGCAGTTTGGCTGCACCCGCCTCCGCTCCCCTGGCAGGGCCAGCTGTGCCCCCCGAGCCTGAACCCCCCGGCTGAGGGTGCTTTCTGGTCTGATCCAGCTGATAGTTTCTCAAAATGACTAGGTGAAAACTGTAATGTAATAACCATTTGTCCGCTAAATGCCACCCCGAGTATCACTAAAGAGAAGATAACTAAAGAACTTGTGTTTAATACCCAACTGTGGTTACATGGAGCTTCCCAGGGCTGGAGAGGTAATTAGCATTTATCCTATAATTTTGCAAACTTTCAGTAATCTAGTAATTTATTTTAATTTGGTGGGGAGGGACGGGGAGGGAATGGTTGTTATTGCCCAGATTTTAGGGGCTTGGTGTGTTTGCCAACAGTAGGAGTTGCAGCTGCTGCAAGTTAACCTGGTCCCACTGGGGCCAGAGCCCATCTCCACCTTGAGAGAAACAGGACTAGGGGCACACCACGGCACAGCTGCACCCTTCTGCCCTTCTGTACCCCTCATGGGTGCACTGCCATCCCTGGCAGACCCTCCTCCTCACCCCTGGCTCTGTTTGGGGGCCAAGGAGGCAGCAGGAGAGGCAGGGCTGTGGAGGAGTGATGAGGAGGGGGGAATGGGTGGGACGTGGCACCCAGGTACACAGAAGATTGGGAGCTGGGCAGGCACGGGCAGGAGGGATGGGAAGGGACAGCTGAGGGCTGTGATGGGCAGCGGGGGTGAGGTGCTAGGCTGGGGGAAACGATTGCTCCTGTAGTGGCAACTGTCCTTTCGAAAGCCCCTTCCTCACCTCTTGGGGAGCTGGTGGCACCTGGTGTCTCACACATGGTCCTGCAGAACGGGGCAGTGAACCAAACCCGTTCAAGAGGTAAAGACTCATTCTCACTATATAGTACCTGGGAGAGGGGATCTGGCTTCATCACTGTGTCCTGTAACGGTCATCTCATGAATATGCATCCTGAGAGCTCATTATCGAGGGGTAGAGGGGAAAGCAAGGTTGATCTTAATTTCGCTGTTAGTGTACTGTATTCCAGGAACTGATAATGAAGGTCAGAAAAGCCATTTACCGTGGCTGCAAAAAACATAAATTAAAGCAAATGTGGAAGGAGGGCTGTGGGGCCAAATTGAAGCGCCATTGAAACTTGGGTTGGGGGAGTTGCTCTCAAAAGATGCAAAGAGCTTTGTAGTCTTTCCATAAGTCTCAAGAGCTGCTCCAAGGTGACAACAATCAGTTTCGATCCTGGCTTGCTGCTAAGGGGCTAGTCCATACTTTCAATTTAATCTAGTTTGTATGAGACATTTATTAAATTATAGAATGCTGAAGTATTTATATTTAGGAAGAGTGTCTCTGCTGTCTTTTGTTTCCTGAGTGACACGAGCTATATCAGATCTTCTGTGCGTTTTTGCTTGAGTAATAACCATACTTGTCCAGAAAAAGTAAAAACGGATTAGCTCAACCTCATTGTATTGTATTTATTTTAGCAACTCTGTTGCAAACTGAAGGATATTAGTCTAGGTATGTATTTCAAAGTCACATGAGTAAGTCTTAAAGTGCCCCATAACTCCAGGAAGCCCAGAACTGAGTCTGAATTTGGGACACTTTGAAGCCTGGCACATGCCAGCCCCTTCCTGATGTCCCTAACTGTAATATGTCCTTCTGTGCAGTAGACCTGGCTGCAAGAGGCGGGGAGATTTGCCCCCACCTGACAGCCAGGGGCACATCTCTTTGCAGGGAGCTCCCCTCCACTGAGGGTTGGGACCCTTCCCTCCAAACCCCCGATCCCCCACCTCCTAAGTGAGTACCCCAATGGGACGGCTTTTGCCCCAAAGGCAGCTCACGAGTTTTAAGGACGGGCGTGAGACAGCTTCTTGGGCTGCTCCAGACACGCAGGCACCTTGGAGGGGTGACGTGCCCGTACCTGGTGACCACTGCTACCCTGCTGCAGAACAGGCTCCTCTAAGTGCACATGGAAATAAGTCCCTGCCTGCTGGGCAGGTCTCTCCCAGGGGCTTAGGGAAGCTTTAGGGTGCCTGCGTCACACCCCAGAGCACGGGCGTGAGACAGCTTCTTGGGCTGCTCCAGACACGCAGGCACCTTGGAGGGGTGACGTGCCCGTACCTGGTGACCACTGCTACCCTGCTGCAGAACAGGCTCCTCTAAGTGCACATGGAAATAAGTCCCTGCCTGCTGGGCAGGTCTCTCCCAGGGGCTTAGGGAAGCTTTAGGGTGCCTGCGTCACACCCCAGAGCTTTGCAGCTAGCAGTACCCAAGGCTACAAGGGACAAGCCATGCTAGCAGGCTGTCCTCTCAGAAATGGTTTATGTTTATGCAAAAGATGTTCCATGTTCCACTACTGTGAGTTTGAACAGAAATTAATACAATATTTGGGGTGTTTGAACTGAACATTGGCTTGCAGAGCAGCCTGCTGCCTGGTGCACCGAGCGTGTATCATGTGGGGCTATGTGCTCACCTGGGCATGCTGTGGCACCTGTGGCAGCTCTCAAAAAACAGCCAACTGAAAACCCAAATGACAGGTTAACAACATGTAATGGCTTCT